TTTAACATAGAGTGTTGATGAAACAAGACTATCAGCAGTTTTGTTTAAAGTCATCATTTCGTAAGGTCCATGGTCGATACAATGACCCTGTCAGCAAATACAATTTATCATTAAGTCAAATGCTGACTGACGTTTTTCGCACTAATTTTTAGTCCATTATTTATACACTGAATCGACGACGGATTTTTCCGTTATTTTCTGATCGACGGATTTTTCCGTTATTTCCCGGTCATGAGAAGGAGCACACAGCGGGTGTGACTGGTCGGCAGGGGATGCTTACTCCTCCATGGCACCTGATCCCACCTCTGATGTTTTGGAGGTCCGTGTTTGCTCTGCTCCTATTTGTATTGTTTCATGGACTTTATTGAATACTTTTCGTCATCTCCATATCCCTCCTGTACATGTACGTGTTAATCTAAGAGAGTGTGAGTCAATGCATGGATAATGGATTTTAAGTGATTTGATTTATGTACCATTGATTCAAGCTTATATTTGGGTAAATTGAAAAAAAAAAACACACAAAGACATATTTATTGCATAATCTGTTAAGTAGTTTTTGAATTATTTTGAAGCTTTTGATGAAAGTACGACCAACCTACACTGACTCTGATTACAAACTAGCCAAGGAAGGATGTGGTGATGTGCACAGGAAAGGGATACTTCCTTGTAAGTAGTCAGTCTAGCTATTTTGAAAGGAATGAATTGTCCGGATAAGCATTTAAATGTTCAATCATTCGTTGTGATTGTTTAATTCATTCATATGCTGTCATTGATTGACTAGTCATAATTTCTTAGTCCCCAGGCAAGTTTTCGCTTTACACTGCTCTTATAATGAATTATTTTTACAGTATAATTTGATAAGTATACAGGATAGAAAAGTAGCAAAACAATTTTTTGCACTTAATTTGTTTCATTGAATGTTATACACAATATGTAGAAACGTTAAGGCACCCTAGAATTAAAACTTCACATCGTTAAATACTGCATTATCTTCCATTCAAACGAATTTGCAGCAAGACAACCGTTCCTCAAAGAGTTTACACTATTTAAGAAAAGTTCTTTTATTGAATGTTTTTTCATGTGGAGACTAGGTCGTCCTCTAGTTCCGCTAGATTCTGCTGCTGGAAAAGCTGTCTTACACTCCGGTCTATCTTCTTCAATATATGTAAGTTAGGGTCGAGATTATGATGACAAGGGGGCTTACGAAAGTGCCTGTGCCTTACTGACAATAGTTACATAATGTCTCATTACATGTATTCCACACTCCTCAAGTTGAACATTGAGGGAAGGGCACTTCCAGTTCCGGTCCCATTGATTTTTTCCGGATAAACTCTATGATGATTTTGTTGTTTTTGTTGAAAATCTAGCAATTTCTAATGATTAAAAGGAATTCAGGAATGCTTTGTAGGTTTTTCCGGATGGTAATTATCAAGGTTTTAAGTAAAATAAAGTCATACAGTGAAAGGAAACAGAACTTTCGTTAACTACGACCAGCTTGGGCCATTTCAACTACACTTTCACACTTACACATGGAAGTACAAAATCTGAAGTATACACCCGAAAAACACATGAAACTCGAACTTCTTGCTTTTTAACAAAAACGGTCACAGTCAAGTAATTACGCATTCGATTTCAATTTTTGGGGCCTTGACAAGTAAATTTTGCAAATTAAAGGCAAATTTTAAGCAACAAGTACATTGATATTAAGGTTTTGAACTTTTAGAAAAAATAAAAGTGGGGACTAAGAAATTTTGACAATTATGTATAACCTAACAGAATGTTTTATGAAATATCCTATTAGAAATGAAATTAAAGAGATTGTTAGACAGCTTCCACGATTTATACGTTTATAACGACATCTGGACACATGGATATATGTATAAGTGTAAACCTATAATTTCAAAAAGTATACGCATGGTAAAAATATGCCTGTTTACATTTAGGTACATTAAAAAATTTTAATGTGAATTATGATGCAAGAATTCGTAAAAAATGCATCAAAGGATATAAATCGATAAGAACTGAGGGAAATGAAAGAATGCAATAAAAATGCACACAGGTGCACACTTTGAAACAATGGAAATATTTACTTTTCCTTTGTTGAGTTTTACATGCATTTGATAAAAAAAAAAATCATAGATGAAAAGTTTTTGTCCCAGGAGTTCTGCTTATCTCGAACAACACTGTGATATTATGACCTGTGTATTGTGTCATGAAATATCTTTTTTTCATTATACAGTGGATAAATTCAGTGTCCATCTCTCGTCTGTTTCGTCGAAAAGAGGAAGCTTCATCAACGCAATATATTTACCAGTAAGGAAAAATATGCATAATAGTATTGAGAATTACTTGTTGTTATCATTTCTTCAATCAAATAAATATTTTATGCACATTCTTCTCTAAGCACATTTCTTATTGTTTGATTTGCCGCGATTTTCAGTCATACACAAACAGGAGAGCGTTTATTGTGACGCAGTATCCGCCGGAAGAGGAAGCAGTTGATTTCCTGCGCCTGCTCAATGATCATGAATCTGATACAGTAATCTGTATGGATCCTCTGAAAGATATTGAATCGGTATTGAATTAAAATTCGCTTTATGTTTTACTGATGCATAGCTGTGTTTACGAAAAAAGTGTTAACGTATAATTCGTAGATTTTCATAGGTACACGTAACAGTACAAAAATCGTAGTAAAATAACAGCTGTAGAATTTAATGAAGTGATATAATGATAAAACTTCTTCTCATGTTGAGACTTTAAATTAACGAAAAATAGTTTTTGCGCTAATTACAGAATATGCAAAGATGAAAAGAAACTTTTGTACAATTTAATCATTGTATACACTGTACATGTGTCTTAATTTCATTGTTGTAGAGTACGACGTGGTTACCTACTCCTTCCTCTTCCAAGGTAGTCGTCCCCCTCAATGTTCACTATCAATCAAAGGCCGGAACTGACGTGAAAAGTACCAAAATTCACATGGTGCAAAATAATGTGAGTATTTTTAATTGATTCAGACATACTAGATTTAACTATCCTGCAAAAATTTACAGGATAAATTAAAACAGAAAGATGCTATAACACTGATAAAGCAGAAATAATTTGAACTAGGAGACTTATTGTTCACAGAACAATAAGAGGTCTTTCCACCTTCTTTGAATTTCAACTTTGTTTTATATCCTTAAAATTAAATTCCATGAATAAGAAACCAAAATTGTCTTAAAGGATAGAAAAAATGAAAATTTAAAAAAAAAAAAGAAATGACCTTGACCTTAGATCTTGAGAAAAGATTCAAGGTCAAAGGTCAAAGATTACAATGTAATTGACCCCATGCTTCTACGACTTATAGTTTTCAAGTTATAAGGTTTAATGGTAAGTACAAAGACGTTAAAGGGCAATAACTCATATAAGGGATAATCAGATCCTTTTGCACTTATATGTAGTAAGTTATGTCTAAAGACCCTGAAGACATTAGTGTAGGTTTGGTGTCTCTACGGTCTATGGTTTTGGAGGAGTATCGATAACATGTTTTTTCGCACAAGGGGCAATTACTTTTAAAAGGGTTAATTTTAGGGGACAAGAATGAATTCCCTGAAATAGTTTTAAGAGTACATATTAAATGTGCAAAGAAAGATAGTATGTGTTGAAATACAAAAGAGATATAAAAGAGCTGAATTTCTCATTTTTGGAATGACTCTGACCTTTGACATCTGCATAATTTTCAAGGTCAAAGGTCAATGAATCTTATGCAGTCTCTATGACTTCTCGTTTTGAAAATTTTTGATAATTCATAAAATTCAAAAATTTTCACTGGCAATAACTCATTGAAGGGGTCACCGAATACTTTTGGAATGAAAAGATTTTAGAGCTCTCAATTAGTCAAAGACTTTAGCGAAGGATTCATTTTTCTACGCTTTACGGTTTTGGAGGAGTATCGATAACAAGCATATCTTGCGAAAAGGGCAATAACTCTGAAAGGGGTCGAAGTTTATATACGCAGGGTTAACGAAAAAATAATTAAAGGAGTACATTCTTATAAGATATGAATCTTTTCGATAACTTGTGAAACAAAAAAACCATTCGGCGGAAAAATAATAAAGAAAAATAATAATAAACAGAACAATTTCAATAGGTCTTTCCACGGTAAGGTGGAAAGACCTAATGAAATATATCATAAATCAATACATACATGTATAACATTGTACATAACATGTAAGTTGTTTTTATAAGTACTGAGTATATATTTACATTTACTTTTTTTTTTTTACTAAGCCGACTTTGAAATTGATTTGAATATCATTTTATGTATATTTATGCGTAGAAATATGCACGGAGAAACTTGCGATAACGCGTCGTCATAATAACGCTACAGCGACACTTGTAAAAAGACAACGATATAGGGCAGTGAGAAATTCAAACATTGAGTTTATTTTTGGTGCTTTAATAATGTAAATACAAAGAATGGTATAAGTTAAGTGAAATTATAAGTGTGAACATCACACAGACTTGCTAGTGCACTTCATGTAATATGCCTGCGTGACAAGTTTATTTGATTAACACACCAATTACTAACACGAAACTATTTTTATTTCATCAAACGTATCTATTTAATTTTATTTTATATAACTATTATTTTTGTTTAATCAATTTCTGAATTAGAGTGAGGAGGAAGCTCATTCAGTAACCATTATTGAACCGATTGTCGCCATGAAAACATCCGGAAACCCTCTAGATACATCCCAGCTTAGAAGCTTGGTATCTGTCGCTCTGAGTTCTGAGAATGAAAAGCCGATTACAGTTGTTAGCAAGTAATTATATTCTTATATTATATCCATTCATTTGTTTTATTACCTTATGGTAAGCATACCAATGCGACACAAAACATCACCAATCACTTCAGTTGTTGCTATGTGATTCTTTTATCACAAATATCGTGCTTATGGTCATGTGTATTGTTTTGAGTGGATGATGAACAAGTATCACAATTTTGTGTGCAATGTATAATTATTCCTTCACATCAATCGTATATATTAATTTTATCTTTCATCAGAGATGGAGCGTGTCTTTGTGGATTTTTCTGTGCCGTTCATAACGTGATACAACAGATTAACATGGACGACTGTGTGGATATCTTCACTGCCGTCAGACAACTTCAAGTTCGAAGACCGGAGTTCTGTGCTAATTTCGTAAGTTCTTTAAAACTAAAATTCTAAAACTTTTTTAGGTCACCTGAGTAAACTCAGGTGACCTATTGCTATCTGTTTTCGTCCGTCGTCGTTCGTCGTACGTCGTACGTCGTACGTCGTACGTCGTTCGTAAACTTTTGAACATTTTCAGCTTCTTCTCTGCAACCACTGAACCAATTTCAACCAAATTTGGCACAAAGCATCTATGGGTAAAGAGGAACAAAAATTGTGAATTTCATGATCCCTGCCCCCCTGGGGCCAGAGGGGTGGGGCCAAAACCACTAAAATTAATGCAATCTTTAAAAATCTTCTTCTTTATTCCTGGAAATAAAGCAGTCAAACTGTTTGCATGATTGTAATCAGCATTGAGTCCTCTACCAAAATTGTGAAATTCATGGCCCTGGGGTCAGGGGTTATAGTGCTAGGGCAGGGCTAAATAAGTAGGTAGTGAAAATGCATTATTTCTCTGAAAATCTTCTTCTCTGCTCCTGGGTATTAAATAAACCAACTAAGTAGTTAGTTATGATGAGCAAGAGTGCTTCTACCAAAATTGTGAATTTTATGGCCCCAGGGTCAGGGTTTCTGTTGTTTGGGCGGGGCTCTATTGATTATATACAGTGAAAATACATGATTTCTTTGAAAATCTTCTTCTCTGCCCCTGGATATTAAATAAACTAACTAAGTGCATAGTTATGATGAACAAGAGTGCCTCTATCAAAATTGTGAATTTTTTGGCCCCAGGGTCAGGGGTTCTGGTAGGGGGGGGGGGCTTTATAGATTATATAGTAAAAATACATGAATTCTTTGAAAATCTTCTTCTCTGCTCCTAGATATTAAATAAATTAACTAAGTGCATAGTAATGATGAGCATGAGTGACTCTACCAAAATTGTGAATTTTATGGCCCCAGGGTCAAGAGTTCTGGTGTTAGGGGGGGGGGGGGGGCTCTATTGATAATATTGTGAAAATAAACGAATTCTTTGAAAATCTTCTTCTTTGCTCGTAGGTATTAAATAAACTAACTAAGTGCATAGTTATGATGAGCAAGAGTGCCTCTACCAAAATTGTGAATTTTATGGTCCCTGGGTCAAGGCTTCTCTTGTATGGGGGGGGGGGGCTCTATAGATTATATAGTAAAAATACATGAATTCTTTGAAAATCTTCTCTGCTCCTAGTTATTAAATAAACTAACGAAGTGCATAGTTAAGATGAGCAAGAGTGCTTTTACCAAAATTGTGAATTTTATGGTCCCAGGGTCAGGGGTTCTGGTGTTAGGGTGGGGCTTTATTGATTATATAGTAAAAATACATGAATTCTTTGAAAATCTTCTTCTCTGCTCCTAGGTATTAAATAAACTAACTAAGTACATAGTTATGATGAGCAAGAGTGCTTTTACCAAAATTGTGAATTTTATGGTCCCAGGATCAGGGGTTCTGGTGTGTGTGTGTGGGGGGGGGGGGCTCTATTGATTATATAGTGAATATACATTAAATCTTTGAAAATTTTCTTCTCTGTCTCTGGGTATGAAGCAGATGAACTACCTAAATAGTTATGATGAGCAAGGGCCCTAATCTTGCAGAATTTTGAATTTCAAGGCCCCAGGGTCAGGGGTGGGGGTGGAGCTCTACTTATATACTAATGAATTAATTGTTTGAAATCTGCTCCTTTGTATTTATAAAACATTTATTTATTTTTTGATAGGCAATTTTAATGGTGCCTTTTTAAAATTTGTGCAATGTGTGGACCTAGGGTCAGGGGTTTATTTCACAGTGTTAGGGGCACTACTGATTATTGCTGAATATTACTGATTAGTTGGAATGCATTTTGTTCCCTTACCTTGCGTATCGGTATTCAGTACCCCTGCGAGGTGATCATGAATAATTCATGGATTTCCTTGAATTTTTCATGAATTTTATTCATGAAATGTTCATGAAGATCCTGTGAACTTATTATTGGGCATATTTAAATCAATAAACCAAGCTGAGCAACTGTAGTGTATTTTTATGATGATCAATGGTGCCTCTTTCAAAATTGTGAATGCCATATAGCATCTGGCTTAAAACATGAATCAAATTCAATAACTGGAAAGTTGTTGCAGAATGCTCAGGTGACCTATAAGGCCCATGGGCCTCTTGTTTATTGCCCTGAATGTGTGAAATTGCCCAAAAAGGGACGTAATGATTTACAAATTTATAACGAAAAAGCTTGTTGTCTCTTTTATTGACAACATTTTAATTAGAATTATTCGTGTCTGGAATAATTCAATTAAACAAAATTAACCACGACACCATTCACAAAACACACGACTTTTTTATCGTGGGTAAAATCTATTTTTATTCACGCTATTGTCATAATTTTGAAATTACACAGTAAAATCTTTTTGATTTTCTTTCCAGGATGAGTATGGTCTGATCTATAGATCTGTTTATGATAACATACAAAGTACAACAGAAAACATTTACAGCAATCAGTAAAGTGGTGGATCTATACGCTGCAATCCTTCATGACTTTTAAAATTATATAATTAAAAATATATATATTTATAGCCTCTACTATATAAGATAAAACAAAACAATGAAACTTTTATCATATCATTTGAAAATAAGAACTTCAGTCATATTTATAATAAAGTAAAATATTTACATTTGCAAATGTTTTCCTTTACATAACACTACTGAAGACAAGCGTTTTTATAACTGTGTAAATACAGGTTTGGGGTCAAGAGGTCATAGATGTGCGTTTGGATAAACGTTCCACGTAATTTCTCTGTGACGTCATAAAGGGTCGACGCGCGTTTAGTAGATTACGTACATGCCGTTGGGTTTGAAAAATTAACGCATTTCACACGTTAAAAGTAACAATCAGGCAAATATAAAGTATGAATAAGTCACAAATGTAAATATAAGTAATAAGGTATCATTTTTTGAGTTTTATTGAGATGTAAAACGGGTTGACACATGATCAAATCTGCCATAAAGCCCTTCGGGCTTTATGGGATTTGATCACGTGACCAACCCGTTTTACATCTCAATAAAACTCAAAAAATGATACCTTATTTCTTAAATAAACAAGTTTTACTGCATAGTTATGGATTTATTTTCCACATAAACAAGTTAATTTCTTTATTTTCTGACCGGTCATGGTATCCTAGTGTAGAGCATTCGCTTTGTAATCTGGAGACCCGGGCTCGATTCTCGTTCGCGTCGTCGCGTCATACCTTAAACGAAAACATAGGTAGTGACTGTTCCTTCGCCAAGCGCTCGGCACTAGAAGTGAAAGGTGAAAGGTTTTTCGGATATGACCTTAAAATCGTAGGTCCCGTGTCACGGTAGGCGTTTTCACGATAAAGAAAGCTCACTGATTAATGGCCCTGAGTGCCAGGCATAGGTCTAAATTTGAAGTCCTTCCTCGAAATACGGTGACGTCTCCATATGAGTGAAAAATTCTCGAGAGGGATATTAAACAATATATAATCAATCAATCATCTTTATTTTCTGAGATTTGTATTGGTTTCCATATTCTTTTGAAATAAAAAGTTGAATTTTAATGCGATCATCATGGATGTCTGGATGTCAGAAAACAATCAGTTATCAACGTCTGTAGAAGTGCTCCCACCTATCCCCAAAAAAGTGGGTATGTCACAGATTATACACATGTTTAAAATGAAAATAAGAAAAACCGAGGTTCAAATATCACCTATTACATCTTTAGAGAAGACGATGTGAGATATCTGTTTATTTCAGAAGTCCCATTCCATGTGCGGGAATGTTTGAATCTATAACTCTCTGATTTTTCTGTCAGAATTCTCTGAACCAGAAGTTTGACCTCTGCATCTTACTATTTGTTACATGCAAAGATTCATATTCTTACATTGCTACATTCACATCCTTACCTTTTATACAAAGGGTTCTTTCAAACCCTGCGTCACATCCCTCTAGACAAGAGCCATTGATGTGGTGACATTGTTCATATCCCAGACAAGCTCCACATCTCTGTCCGCAATCCTGACCATATCCACCACCATCACATTCTTTTTTTTATGTAATGAAAGGTCATGCAAATATATCCCCTTAAAATTTCTTCCAAAGATTATACAAAATCAAACGAACCAAGTTTAATACGGTACCAAAAAAGTAATAAAATTCAAGAACGAACTATATGTGATTTTCAACCCTTAAAGTAAAAAATAATGCATTGTAAATAAAAAGATGTATAGCATATTATTTTTAAAATGTAACAGGATAGAAATGAAGATGGATAAGGAATCTAGTCTTTAAGATCACGTATTTGCAATTTAAGGTTACATATAGAGCTAAGACCGGTCGGGAGGGGATGATAACTCCTTCATGACACCTGATCCAACCTTTGATAATTTTAGAGATCCGTGTTTGCACTGCTCCGAGATCTATGTTTGTTTATTGGACTTATGAGAATGGATATTTTTCGTAATCTCCATAAATTGCTTTGCTAAAATAGAGATATGCCATCCTGTTTACCAATAACATTAAACATGGTTCAACATCCCATGAACTAACTAATAGTCAAATTTAAAGTCTCAGTTCTTACGCTCACTACTCTGAAGTCCCTTCCAACCTGTCTGGCATCCACCTTCACATTCCCCTGTCGCCTTGTTACTTCTGTATGGTACTCTACAGTTGTCGTTACAATTATTTTCACAATTATATCCAAAATATCTGGCAGGACATTCTAAATGATATAAAGAATAAATTAATGCGTAATGTATTTCACTTAAAGTTGACAAAATACTTTTTTTTTTCTTTCAAAATATTAAAGTAATTTTATACACTCCATTGAATTAGACATGTACTTATAAATCTAATTACCAATATCACATAAGTTTCCTTTATATCCAGCATCACAGCCTTCAAGGCAAGAACCATTGATATGATGACATTGTTTATATTAAGGCAGGTTCCACAACTCTGTTCACAACCCTTTCCATATTTCCCACCACTGCACTCTATAAATTGTATTGAACATTGTTGGTAACAGCAGACAGTTTAATGATTTCTTTTAGATAACATTATCAGATTAAAATCACCCAGAGTCATACCATGTATCATATCATATATGTATTTAAAAACGGGCTTAATATTTTGTCGACTTTACGCGGACATGGATAACACTAAGAAATCATACTATCTAAATAATGTTTCATTTATTCACGAATGCCATATCAATTCAATGTCTATTGTCTGCACAAAACTTCAGAAAAAAAATATACCTTTAGGACAGATGATACAAACAAAAAAAAATGGATTCCTGGATTGGTATATATTTTTTTAGCCTAATTTCATTCAAAAGGATTAAAATAATAAGTGTTTAAAAAATAAAGAATTTATATAAATAAATTGTAAACCTTCTATGATGTTCCATATTCTGCCTCAATGAGACCATCCGTATTAATCTATATTTATTTTTCACTTCAAATCCATTTTTCTGAAAATTTGAATAAAATAATTAAAACTACGTGGTGAAACATTCATTTTACTCACTAAAACATGACTCAAGTTGTTATTTTCATTTTTTTTTTTGACAAAAGTTTGTATTATCTGTCCTTAAATTTTTTTGAACGTGAGAAATTCTTTTCGCGTAATTCAACGAAACAGTCTTCTCGGGTAAAAATCATCGGGTTAATATCCCAAATAAGATAATTTCCATGAAAATTTCCTCTATCTAACGTATGTAGAAACCCAATAAATGAGTCGCAAAATGTTGATCATCAATATTACCATTTTCACATTGATATCCCTGATACCCAGCTTTACACAATGAACACATGCCTGTCTCTATGTGACAATAACGACAGTTGTCAGGGCAGGGAGGGAACAGTTTGGTCCATGATATCCAGTCATACAACCTGCAGATGTCAATTGAAAAAAAATGACAAATATGTGCAATACAACACACGACATGTACAAAAAAAAATGAATGGTTAACATATGCTATACAAAATAAAATAAAAATAAAGACTTCATACCATAGACTTCTACCTCACAGAGTTCATTAAATGCGTAGTAAGAATAATCATCTGGGTATTTGACATTTCCAAGCTTTTCATTGTAGTAGATGACGTATTGTGCATGAAAGGTATAGGTTATATTTACAATGGCTGGTATGGTAGATCTGGTATAGTTTGTATCGTGGCAACATAAGTGACCATCAAGTCGGTTTGTTGTGTTTGATAAATAAACACGAAACCCAAGAAATCGTTCTGTTAATCCATTATTTTTATCTGAAATTTTAAAACACCTCATATTTTATAAAGGAAATTATTTTTTCCTGAAAATAATGCAAAGAATATGTTTTGAGTTTCCATGAAATGTTTGATGCCTGCTGGTTACGACTTTTAGAAATTGCACATAATTATAAACTGCTATTGATAAAAAAATGCCTGTGTAAAGACGAATAATGACCCCCATCGAATAATGACCGGGGGTCATTTTTCGCTGTCGTAGAAAAATGACCCTTTTGCCCGTAGAAAAAGTGTCACCACCCTAAAAATTTGCAGAACCCACGTGAAGAAAAATGACCACCGTAGAAAAATGACTCCCTGTGGATTAAAGCTGAAATTTTTAGGGGAAAATAATTTAATTAGATAAAGAAGAACATTGGCCAAAATGCTCACCAGAGCTAATTGGGAATAAATTGATGATACCGGGTATGTTGATCTCATAACATTATACAATTATAGCTATATTTTAAGGTCAATTCGATGATTCAGAATCTAAAGGAGTAAAAGATTTATCGATCCTAAAGGGTTAGGTAAACATTGTTTTCTGATGGTGGAAATCATCGTACTGACAGAAAAATTAGCAGTATTATGTATCATTATCATCCGCTTGAAAGTGGGAGGGTATATAGTGATTGGGATGTCCGTCCATCTGTTACGCTTTGGGGTATCTATCTCTTATCCGTAACTCCTCGTATATATATATATATATATATATACATGTATATATATATATATATATATATAAATGTGTTTGTGCAATAGCTATGCCCCTGTATGGCAACATAGAGAAGATTAAACTTTTCTTAAATGCAATTTAAATATATTGGTACCCAAAGTAAGGTCTTGTCACAGGGAGTACACATATTTTAAAAATATGAAAGTCATAGCTCCAATAAATGAAAAGTTATGGTCAAGGTTAAAGTTTATGCGGACAAACAGACCCCCAGATAGACAGACATACAGACGGACACGATAAAACTATATACCCCCAAATCTTTGATTACAGGGATATAAGAAGTAATGGTCTTCAATTAACTTTTCATATTATGATACAGTATAAAGAAGACGTTACAAAAATGAAAATGTTTGTTCTGATTTTCATATTTAATTCTTTAAAATATAGACTCAGAACTGAATAAAAGGGTGGAGTAAAACAAGAATTAAGAATTGTAATGAATACTATACTGTATGCTAAATCAAAAGTTTATGTCTACATGTATAGTTTTTGCATAAGTATATGTATTTTTCTGAAACAACGTATAATTGGAGTCAGTAAAGAAAAAAAATTATATTCATTAAAGATCTCCAGCGTGCGTTTGATCCATTTACATGTACATCTTTGATTTTCTAGGTTTGCTCCATTATCAGAGAAATGATAATTAATTGATTGATTGTTAATTGGTTAAAACTGATTTGTCAATAATTCGGCAGAGAGAAATGAGGAACTTTATAAACCCTAGATGCTAAGAAGAACAAAGATAAAATGTATTCGAACAAATGCATGAATTACTCGAAGGAAGAAAAATTATATCATACAGCATATTTTTCCCTTTCACCTTTTATAAATTTTGTATCACTTTGCAGGGGGTCATTTTTCAATTGGGTTCAATTTTTTATAGGACTAACATATAAAATAATGACCCCTAGGACTCCAGGTGGTGGGGTTGGGTGGGGTGGGGTGGGAGGTCATTTTTTGTCGTTGAAAAATGACCCCGGGTCATTATTCAATGGGGGTCATTATTCGTCTTTACACCTGAACATAATAATGAAACAGAAATAGGTTTTGCTTTAAGGTATTTCCATCCTTCAATGATATCACAGGTTTTTGCAAAAAAAAAAAAATTTATTAATTTAAATTCATGCCAAGTAGAACAATAATTCTTATAAGAATGCTTTTCAATAGATGTAATGCTATATATTGTTAAGTAAAAGAATTAAAAAAATGTTTATTTTCTCTGTTTAATCAATTTTTCTATCTTTAAAAAAAATCTTGATAAGTGCAATAACTCCTTCTCAGGTATCTTAATTCAGGCAATTTCTTTATTGTACCTCTTATGTAGAATAGTTTCCCTTGTATTCACAATTCAAAAGTATCTTAATAGTTGCAAGTATTTCGGAACTTTCAGCATCAGAATTATGCATTTGAACCAGTTTTTATATAATTTCATCATAATGTTAGCAAAAATGTACAGACTTTACATGTTGACAAACACTTCTGTTAATTTATATCTCCTATCCTAAATAATTTGGCAACCTATACATTTTTTTGCAATAATTAGTAAATTTAGATTATTTTAAATGAAAGTAAGTGCAGTTTTTTGTACTTTCAACCATTCAAATTGTGAGAGTTGAAAGACCTTAAGCAATATTTGTTTTTTAAAGTTGAATAATTGATTATATTAAAAATAATTTTTTTAAAACCAGTAATTTCCTTTTAGTTTTTTTTTCGTTTCACCTTTTGAAGAACATTCTTCCTTTAGATATGTTTCTATCTAGTAAATTTAAATGAACAACTTTATTTGTAAAATCTTATGACACCACAGTATGACGGAAATAACTTATCAGCGTTTCTTTGAATACAACATTCAACAAAAATTTAAACATACACGGTACGAAATTAAAACTTACCCCATACATTATTATCAGTCAGGTAATAAATCCGTATGTCATGGATGCTATGGTCTGATTCCAGGTTTACCCACCAGGTGGCGCTTCTTTTATTGTCAGCTGACTGAACACACTGTCCTTCCAACGGATTGAGGTCAGATTTCCGTCCATCTACTGCATTACTAGAATCAAATCTACTGTCTGATACAATGTAAAGATATGCCTGCCAAGTCTGTTTTTTCAAAGCTACGTTTACTAAAAATCACAAAAATTAGTTCATAAAAGTTTTTTTTTTATTTGAATGCATCAAGTATCGTATATACTCGCCTATAAGTTGGTCCACCTATAAGTCAGTTGTATTTTTTTTTAAAGTTATTTGGCAGGGATTTGCCATTGACCTGCTTATAAGTCGGTTCATTTTTTTCACAGAATCAAATGACAATTTCTAATGAATGCTCCGTTGTCTTACCCTGATTTCAATTAATATTTTAAGAAATGAAGTCGATATTTAACTTTAAAAAAAAAAGAATAAATACTGCTTTCTTAAGATTAAAAATAAAATACAATTCTTAAATACATATATTTATATATATATATAATACATAAAATTTATGTATTATCTTATACTACATAAATGATACACTGAATCTATACTTTGTTCAACGATAGTAGATGAAAATGTTCATAGAATACTATAATTCGCCATCCAGAAAAATACCAGTCACTTTATGACTCGCCTATAAGTCGGACATAGACATTTGGACTAAAATCTAACTCCCAAAATGCTGACTTATAGGCGAGTATATACGGTACATGTACATGATAAACGTTTCATTTGATGTCCATGGACTTCTTCCTTCTATGACAAAAATATTTCGCAATGATTAATATAAAAAAAATTAAAGAACAATAAACACATCTCAATAAAACATCCTCAAACAGCTCTGTGCACTTTTAAGCTCACGTGGTTTTTCGCACAATTTAAGATCACATTATTCTAGCAATAAAACTTTTAAAAACATTATCGGACTTAACTATAAGACATTAGCCAAATGTGTTTTATGATTCACATACATAATTTTTAAAATCATTATCTTAAGTTTTCAAAGTTGATGTGTTAAAGTGGACTTTATGAATAAATTGTATGATATTACATCTGTATGATTTTACCATACGTATTTACACATTTAATTAATCGACCTTTCATTGATACTTTTTATCTGGAAATTTAAAACAGACTTCTTAAGTTAGCATTTATCTCAGTACTTTGCACATTTGCCATAATTGTCTTATTTTTTTTTTCGAAATGTGGCAACGAAAATGACAATGGTGCCTTAAGAAATTATGCAAAGAGATAAGCTCCCAAAGTATGATTTATCCCTTCAAATAGTAAATTCTTATTATTGAATAGAAAATTATTTTATATTTAGCGTTTTTAACTTTCCAATTTCGCGATGTGGTGTATCTTTCATGTTGCTAGATCAGAAAGTATCTCTTAAAAATGTCAACTTTTTAACATGTAAAACAGTTGAACAGATGAAAATTACTGTTATCATATTGCACTCTAGCGTTATGTTAATGGATAGATAATACAGAAGTTAAATCAGCTGCACTGTTTCTGTCTCTATACAAGACAAAGAATTGCTTTAAAAAAAAGGTACAAAGACGGCTGCGTTTTTGAGAAACCATGAAAAACCATTTGTGAACTATCACAATCCATCAACCAAGAACATATAAAATTCTTACCTTTTTATTTGTGAAAATTATGTCCTAAGTAATTGAAATCAGATTAAAATTTAGTTTAAAACATTTTAAAGATATAGTTTGTTTCGCTGTTACACAAATTCTTATTGTAACAATGTAATTTTAATTTATAAGAATAATCACGTGACTATTTATAAGTGCAGGGAGCTGTATTATCTCGTTACACAACCTACTCGGTAGAGGTGACTAGATGCTTTAAAGAGATCTTATATTTTAAAGGTTTTTTTTTGTCAAAAAATGCAGAAATCACATTCAAACTGTCAAAAGTTTTCTTTTTCTTGTCCATTTTTATTGAGAAATTTATTCCTCACCCCTTATTTCTCACTAGGATGTAAAAAAATCGAAACCCTACAGTACTATAAAATTTCGTACGTGGGAGTTAAGCGGACAGAAGAGAGACCGAATAAAAATATATATACATGTATATGCATGTATATAAAAAATATACTGATTTGTTTTATGGAATATTTTGGACAACATTGTTGGCCAGGGAAAAAAAAAACATTCCGATCGCGGTAAATACATGTTCACATGCAAGACGGATAGGTGGATTAACAATTTTTTTTTATTTCAATATTCAGACTTTTTTAATCAAGTGATTTCTTTTATATTGAAGATTAAAAAAGATAAATATTATTGATTTGTAGTTTTTACTCGTGATTTTTTTTTCTTTTATGTAAGGAAAACATTTTCTAAAACGATATACATGTATCTTATTATTTTTTTACCTTCAAAACATTACTATGATTATGATGAATGCGTTAAGTTTACAAATAAATTTCATATTAAAATAATTATTTTACATAGTTTCACTAAAAACCAGACACAAAACATGTAATGATGACCCTGATTACCAAACACAGACTTCCTGTGTAATGCTACGTATACACAGATTTTTGACATCTTGGGTATTGGGGGTCTCCAGGTAAATAACACCACTGTTACTTCGACCACTCCCCCTCCTCAGGTAACCGTACGGTAAAAAAATTGGGTCTTTAAATGTGTCTATCCTGTTTTTAAATTGGCAAAAATATCCTACAAATATCCCTTAACCTGTTCATGTTAATCCACAAAAAATGTATTGTTAAATTGCCAAAATATAAATCGCCGAAATCTGAATAGATCAAAGAAATTGTATGAAAATTTAGTGTGTACTGGGAAAGTGCTTACTGATTTCTCAACACTTATGTATATTGTTAATATAGACGTCATAAACATGCGTATTATTGTTATGTTCAGTTTTGATGTATTCTAAAGCTATCGTTGATTCACTACATTGTAATAAAAAATGAGTTCCCGATGATGAAGCGATATTTAAGTCAAAATGGCAACTCTTCAATGTGAAAAACTTCCGGAATTAAAATAAAATAAAACTTCGTTGGATGAATCTGGATGACTACTTCATTAATTTATCAACTCCAAATATATTGATTTTAATTAGAAATCGAAGATCAATATAATTTAAAAATACTGCTTTCGAAGAAGAAATTTAAATTGATTTTGGTATGCGAGCCATGCATTGAAAATTTTGCATTTCGAATAATCATCACATACTGCACGCTCGATTCATTTAAATCATATGAACTCCTGTCAATAGAAAAACGTGAAACGTGAATTTGCAAAATTTCAAACTTACCATATCCATAAATATAACCAAATACCAATGTTATATGATAAATTTCCATTATTGAAATCAAACTAACAAACTATCACCAGGATGATAAGAAATAGAAGTCGTCAATGGTATCATCTAATAAAAAGTCTTAACTCTACCAGGAAGTTATATTACATCATTTGACATTTCATATGTTTCGTTTTCTTCACAAAAAGTACTCTACTGTAAACGATCGCGATCACAATTTTTTCGCGACACATTTTTTTCGCAAGATAGTTATTGATTCTTTAATAACAAGATAAAATTTTCACGAATTTTTGTTTTTAAGGTCTTCCGTCTCCAACAGAAAATCTTATTGTTTTCGTTCGGTTTCTTTTCCCCTATCATTTTTCTAAGGTTTTCAGTCTTAAGCGAAATACCTTTTGGTTATTCTTAGTTTTTTTCACTTCTCTTTTTATTAAGGTCTTCCGTTTCCAACGGAAGACCTTATTGTTTTCGTTCTGTTCTTTTTCCCTATTATTAATAAGGTCTTCCGTTTCAAATGGAAGACCTTATTGTTTTCGTTCGGTTTCTTTTTCCCTATTATTATTTCTTTTTACCGATTTTATTGCCGAGAGTTCTCGGAAACAGCTCGGTCGTTTTTCACGAAACTTTCAGAGCTGATAGATATTGGTCTGAACCTTATTGAAAATTTTTTATATGTACGATGTCACTTCCGGTCGTGAGATATGGACGATTTACTGATTTTCAGAGGGACAGCTCGTCCTGGCAATCAGTCCAAAACGAATGAAGATATTGAGTTGAGATTTTCAGTGAAGGTAAAGGAAGGATTGCAGAATTGCGTTTTTGAGTCTATATCTATATATATCTTTATATGGCAAAAGGCGTTGAAGCTCGTCCGGGCTCGAAAAATAGGCTCGGAAATATCTCGCAAAATTTAACATGTTTTCTTTGATATCTTTTAACCTGTCAATTATTTGTAAAAAGATATATAATAAAAGATGTGCAGAATTAGATTTTCTTTCATTTGATTTGAAGAAAAGGGCTGTGACCCCTCAAATAAAGGACAAAGAAGGGCCAAAAGTCTTTCATCTATAACTCTTCATTAATCATTTTTTTGTTATATATAACTGAAGCAACAATGTTTATCATGACAATCTGCATCAATGCATTGTAAAATTCTGATAATATGTTACGTAATTAGGGGACAAAATGCTTAGTCTTGGAATCTTTATATCTCCAAAAGGGGAAATATTTGATAAGCAGTATTGAATAAAAGATGCACAGAATCGTCTTTTAAACATTATACAAGAAGGATATGGAAATAACGAACAGTATTCAATCTCAACGTCCATTAAACAAATATACAAAATAAGAGCAGAGCAAACACGGACCTCCGAAACATCAGAGGTGGGATCAGGTGCCATGGAGGAGTGAGCATCCCCTGCCGACCGGTCACACCCGCCGTGTGCACTATTCTATATATGCAAAAACGTCCCATTAAGGATGTAAAGGGCGGACCCTAAATTTTTCTATCCTACATACCTCGAAAACAAAAGGAAATTTCATGATATTTGTTGAACAGAAAATCTTTGAAATGAGAAACCTCATCATTTGATATGAAGAAAAGGGGTCTGACCCCTCAAAGAAAGGGCCAATAGGGGGCAAATGATTTTCAACTGTAGCTCTTTATCTTTCAGATTTTTGTTTTAAATTACTGAAGCAAAAATGTTTATCATAACAATCTGCATCAATGCATTGTAAATTTCCAATCAAATGTTATGTAATTAGGGGCCATAAAGGGCCAAATGCTCAATCTTGGATTCGTTATATCTCCGAAAAGGTGAAATATTTTGATAAGCGTTATCGAATAAAAGATGATCAGTGTTGTCTTTTAAACATTATACAACCATGCTATATATGAAAAAACATCCCATTAAGGGCTTGCTTCTAAATTTTTCTATCCTATATAGCTCAAAAACGAAAAGAAATATCTGGATAGTTGTTGAACAGAAAAAAGTCTTTAAAATTAAAAACCTTATCATCGAATAGGAAGAAAGGGTCTGACCCCTCAAATAAGGGGCTCTTAGGGCCAAAAACTTTTTTCCATAACTACATGTTTTTAATAATTTTATAGAAAGTAAAAGAATTTAAGAGAAGTCTTGATATCATTATGATATAACAAAGATAATAGTCAAAATCATAATATCTTATCAAAAAATCGGACGGAAGACTTACTCGTTGCTCGCAACGAGATCTCATCTAGTTATAATTGTTTTTTTTCTTACCGATTTTATGTACTCGATTTCTCAAAAAACAGATCCCTAGATTTCCATGAAAATTTCAGGACTTTTTTTTCGTTTTGATGTTGTCACTTCCGGTCCGGAGATATTGTTATAATGACTTTTAGATGGACGAGTTATCCCCCGTTTTTCTCATGAATAGCTCTAAAAAGAAACATGAAACTTTCAGGTATGGTAGACCTATGTCTGTAGATATTCCTTTTGCATTTTGTTTCTTCCTGAAACGCCACACGTCGGCGGTCGCTATTATTTATAGTTTATTTAACACTTTCAGATGACACCTTATTTTGTACATAAGATTGAAAAAAAAAATCTTCCATTCCCGTTAACCATACGATTCTAGCAGCATTTTCGAAAAACCGTAAAATAAGTACTTTTGATAGATTCAAAAATTATGTTTCAAAGTATGCAGCGTAGTGTTTAACTTTTGCATCTTTTTTGTTACGAACGACAGAGGCAAGGCTGATTGGGAAGTAAAAACACTGTCTGTTTTCAAGTCATTGAAGAAGTATATTAACACATCTTATTCATAAACTTTATTTCTGCATGAATAACTCATGATGATTAAGCTAAATGCTTTTCAATTCCTATTTCTTGTGTTTGTTTACATGAATTATCATTTCGTTTCACTTTCACTCTACTAAATGCTAATAAATAACTATGACTTCGTGGGTTTAGCATTTAACATCGTGACAAATACATAACTTCTTATACCACCCATAAACAACAAGATTGTGCCTTTATTAAGCTTTTGCCTGTTTCAATTTATTTCTACGACCACAAATTCAGCAATAAATATAGATTTGAATTAAAGAAATCATTATCTTTAATGTTCACATCATAAAGCTTATTATGACGTCATATTTTAAAGGCAAGTGGAATATTTGAAGCCTAAACATACCCGCAAAAAAGCATAGTAAATGAATGAGCTAGTTAATGACTGGGTGGGTATAGAAGGATTTGTGTAACGTAGGAAGAGATTCAATGAGTTACCAGGTCAATTATTGGGTCAGTGAATGTAGACTTGCAGCCCCGGTCAATTCGTCAAATATAAGCCGTGTGTATTGAATTGAACATATTTTATTGACAAAGTCAAAAGGGTCGGACACGAATTCAGCAACTTAGATAGTCCTCTCCTAATATTACATTTTGTAAAATTGCCAAAATAAAAGAAACATATATACATATGGTCTACTGCATACATTGTATACATCGCAGCAATAGAAAGGAATAAATTCTTTAAATATACAAATGTAATTTGAGATGGTGAGAAAAAAAGTAAACTTATTTTGAAAAACGACCACATTCATTTAAGAATGTTTGAATAGTTTTGAAAAGTTCAGCATTTTGTTCAACAGTTAGAGAATCATCGCCCCATAGCATTAAATGTTCATCTATAATGTGTAAATAATTTAATGACAATAGCTTATTCATTAAGCCGTGTGTATTAGGAGGGTAATGAAGAAATCTGTCTTTAATCAAGGAGTGGTTAAGTATATGAGTGCATGAAGAATGGATTTTTAATAAATTGTTTTGATTAATGTACTGCGTATTATATTACTTCAAACTTATATCTGATTAAAGTGATGAGAATACACGTTTATTGTTTAATTATGCAACGTTACTGTTAAGTGGTTTTTTGATTATTTTGAAGCTTTTGATGAAAGTACGACCTACATACACTGACTCTGTTTACAAAATAGCCAAGGAGAGTTGTGGTGATGAGCACAGGAAAGGGATACTTCCTTGTAAGTAGTCATTCTAGCTATTTTAGAAAGAATGACTGGTCCAGTTTAGCATTTAATCGTTCAATTATTCGTTGTGATTCTTTGATTTATTTATATACTGTCATTTATTTTTCTTAGGTGTATAACTTAACAGAATGTTTTATGAGAACGCACTGATTCTGCAATGAAAAATAAAGTTGAAGAGATTACTAGATATCTGCACTTTTTTAACTTTTATAACGACATCCGGGCACATGGATACAAGTGAAAACCTATTATTTTAAACAGCATGTGCATGGTAAAAAATATGCCAGTTAAGTACCTCTTATCTCAATGTAAATCGTAATGTAAGATAAAAAGAACTATTCTTACAGCAAAACGGTATACATATATATCGAGAAATAAAGGAAGATAAAAAAAAAACAATTAAGAGATGCACACAGATACAAATGTTGAAACAACTGAAAATTGACTTTAACTTAATTTAAGGTTGAAAATTTAACTCGCATTTGATAAATAAAGATTTTCAAGGATGAGATGTATTTCTCTAATTTAGACGTTTTCCTAATCTCTAAATCTTAATTTATTTATGTAAAACATTTGACATGGCAAGAAGAACAACTCTGATTTTTCTCGTAGCCAGTTCACATTCCTGTAATCTGATAATGTCTTATCAGCAACTGACTAGATTCAGCTAATTTTGCGCACGACTTTATTTTTCCAGCGTGCATTGCCTTGTCAACATACATTCGCCAGTCATCTTGATTTGTTTTTGTTGTGAGCCATTCAAACACTTGTTATCGCAGGTACATAAGTCTACTCTGTTAGAAGAATTTCTAATTCATTTTATTGTTGGATTAATTATCCTTTATATAGGTACATTGGTGAGATTCTTTGGATGCTTGAATTATTGTGTATGCTTTACAATATTTGACGCATTTTGTGTTTTACTGGAGAAATACGTTAATACAATGCTATGGACACCCTGTTTCATGCGCTCATCATCGCAATTACAACTTAGCAGGAGTAAATGAAATGTTTTGAACGTTTATATATGTTGATTTGAATTTCTTTGTTCTTTTTCGCGC